ACCAGGCCCGAATGGTCAGGTAACAGGGAGTCTGGAATAGATTGCTGGAGATGTCTAAGGTGAAGAAGAAAAGAGGTGGTCGGTGCCAGGTGGGGTGAGCAGATAGATGTCCACAGTGGTGCTGCTGCCCACAGGATGCGCTGACCGTGGTGGTGGATGACCTCCGCCTGTGCTCCGTGAAGCCCTGTGAGGACATCGAGCGGAGGTTCTGCTTTGAGGTCGTGTCGCCCACCAAGTGAGGAGGCCCAGCCCAGGGCAGGGGGGGGAGCCCCACCCACCCAGCCTAACCAGCCCCTCCCTCCAGGAGCTGCATGCTGCAGGCCGACTCGGAGAAGCTCAGGCAGGCCTGGGTGCAAGCTGTGCAGGCCAGCATTGCCTCTGCCTACCGCGAGAGCCCAGACAGCTGCTACGGCGAGGTGGGGCCCACCCTGCCCTTCCACTTGCACATGCTTGCCTGTGTGTCCATGAGGCAGCTCCTACAGGCTGCATGTGTGTGTGTGTGTGTGTGCTGTGCCATGTACATGCGTGTGCGTGCTGCATGTGTGCACACCTGTGTGTGTCTTGGATTGTGCTTGAGGGCCCCTGACTGGGGTGGGGGAAGGGCCTGCAGGGGAGTCAGGCTGAATGGCCCCTCACACTGTCCCAGAGGCTGGACCGCACAGCATCTCCATCCACAAGCAGCATCGATTCTGCCACGGACTCTCGGGAACGCGGTGTCAAGGGTGAGAGTGTGCTGCAACGGGTACAGAGCGTGGCTGGCAATGGCCAGTGTGGCGACTGTGGCCAGCCAGACCCCCGCTGGGCCAGCATCAACCTTGGCGTGCTACTCTGCATTGAGTGCTCAGGCATCCACAGGTGGCCTCCCTGACTCGGTGGGGTGGGGCAGGGCCAAGCCAGGTGGAGCTGCAACCTGACCCAGCCCTATCTCCTTGCTGCCCAGGAGTCTGGGTGTCCACTGCTCCAAGGTTCGGTCCCTGACGCTGGATTCCTGGGAGCCAGAGCTACTGAAGGTGGGGGGGGGTGCTCTTAAAGTCCTCTAGGACCCTGGGTTGGGTGGGAGTGGGGGTCTTTTGAGCCTGTAGGGACGTCCACACACCCTTCTCTCACCAGCTGATGTGTGAGCTTGGAAATAGCACCATGAACCAGATCTATGAGGCCCAGTATGAGGGCCTGGGCAGCAGGAAGCCCACAGCCAGCAGCCCCAGGTGAGGTGGGGTGCAGCCCAACTTGGCCAGAGGAGCCTCAGCCAGTGAGTGCAGACTCATGTTTGCCCCTGGTCCAGGCAGGACAAGGAGGCCTGGATCAAGGACAAATACGTGGAAAAGAAGTTTCTGCGGAAGCCTCCAACAGCACTGGCCCGAGATGCCCCAAGGCACTGGCGAGCACAGAAGCGCCAGCGCCCCCACAGCTCCCCCCGTGCTCCCACCACCCGCCGCAAGGTCCGGCTGGAACCTGTCCTTCCCTCAGTGGCTGCTCTGTCCTCAGGTGAGAGGGCTGTCAGCAGCCACACCCACTTATAAACCTGGGCAGGATTACCAACAAGGTTGCTGGCCATTCTCTGGGTCTGAGCCCCCAATCCCTGAGAGTCATGGTGGGAGGCGGGCTGGAGACTCTGTCCAGCTCCCAGTGTGGCCTGGGGCACCCTCCTATCCTGGTGCTCAGTTTCCCCCTCTGAACATGTGGCCCACCCCCAGCAGCAGGCACCTTGGAGCGCAAGTTCCGCCGGGATTCCCTCTTCTGTCCCGATGAGCTGGACTCCCTCTTCTCCTACTTCGACGCAGGGGCTGCGGGGGCCGGTCCACGCAGTAAGTTCTGGGAGGCCCCATCCCCTGCTGCCCACCCCCTTTGGGGGCTGCCACCCCATCCAGGAAAGAAGAAGGGGAGCCAGTGAAGACTCCCTGGTGCATGGACCAGTGTGGACGGCATTTGCTCAGGGACAGAAAGGACAGCTTTTCCACATAGGAGGGACAGAGCTAGGCAGTGTCACAAGGAGGTTGGGCTGGCCGTGGGGAGAGCTGGAGCTTTAGCCGGGCTTTCTCCTTCACCAACCTGGAGGCTGAAACTGGGACTGTCAAGAGCTGTGTGTGCGCGCGCACCCACACTGCTGGAGGGCCTCTGTGCTTGATGGGAATGAGGAGCGGGTGACTGCAGGCAGCAGAGGGCGCTGTCGCCCTGGCCCTAAGCCTCAGGCTTTTCTGAGGCCTGGCTTCTTCCCTGCTGGCCAGGCTGGGCTTCCAGTACCTGAAGACCTCAAAACCTGGCCCTGGGCTACCCTTGGCTCCTTTGAGGCCTGGTTGTTCTTTATCCTTTCCTCTTTCCTAGCTAGGGCTGGTTCTGCCCCTTCCCAGGTCCCCTGGAGGGCCAGTGGGGCTGAGCCTTCCCTGCAGTTCTGGGAAGGGTCAGGGGCCTCACCAGCCTGTGGCCCTGCAGGTCTAAGCAGCGACAGTGGCCTGGGAGGCAGCTCTGATGGCAGTTCAGACGTCCTGGCCTTTGGTGCGGGCTCAGTGGTGGACAGTGTCACTGAGGAAGGTTGGTACACACCTTTCCATCTCCCCGCAGCCCTGGTATACCCCCACCCAGTGAAGTCAAAGACCCTAACCCTGTCCATCTTCCCGCAGAGGGTGCAGAGTCAGAGGAGTCCAGTGGTGAGGTAGAGGCCGAGGCCGAGGCCGAGACCGAGGCCTGGGGGTTGGCAGATGTGCGTGAGCTGCATCCTGGACTTCTGGCTCACCGCGCAGCGCGCACTCGCGACCTCCCCGCGCTGGCCGCAGCGTTGGCCCATGGGGCGGAGGTAAACTGGGCCGACGCAGAGGACGAAGGCAAAACGCCGCTGGTGCAGGCCGTGCTAGGGGTGAGTGTGGCAGGAAGCTGCACGCCAACGTGTGCATCCTCTCCGGGTGGAGCGCAGGCTTGTCCTGGCTGGGCATGCAGGGCCGAGGGCCCTGGTGTGGGGGCCCTGTAGGGGGCCATTTCTTGGCTCAATCCTAGGCGCCCGGCTTCCCAGGGTTCCTTGATCATCTGTGAATTCCTTCTGCAAAACGGAGCAGACGTTAACCAAAGAGACAGCCGGGGCCGGGCGCCCCTGCACCACGCTACGCTCCTGGGCCGCACCGGGTGAGTCTCTTGAGCCTGCCCCTCCCGGCCTCACGCGCGCCCAGCCCACCTCGCCTAGACACGGCCCTCCGCTCCCAGCCAGGTCTGCCTGTTCCTGAAACGTGGAGCCGACCAGCACGCCTTGGACCAGGAGCAGCAGGACCCGCTGACCATCGCCGTGCAGGCGGCCAACGCAGACATCGTTACGCTGTGAGCACGCGCGGCCGTGGGGGCGGGACTCCGCGAGTCCTGGGTCCTCAGAGGTGCTGCCTCACACTGCGTCCCTCCCCCAGGCTCCGTCTTGCGCGCATGGCCGAGGAGATGCGAGAGGCTGAGGCGGCCCCCGGCCAGCTGGGCCCCCTGGCGGGCAGCAGCCCGACCGAGCTGCAATACCGCAGGTGCATCCAGGAGTTCATCAGTCTCCACCTGGAGGAGAGCTAGGGCTGCGCAGGCCGGGCAGCCGGGGGACCCCAGCCCTGCCCGGCCCGCCCGGCCCGGGACCCTGCATGCCCTGAAAATCCTGGTCCCCCACCCAGCCACAGCCCTGCCTGCGCAAGGCCCATGGCCGACATCCCGACAGCCCCAGAGCCCTGGTGCTCCTGGAGCCCCACGCGCCTGCTCATCCCTCCTCCCGGCTACCCGTGGTCCCCCCTGGCCGGGAGTGAAGGACCCCAGCACTGAGTCTTGAAACCCCACGTTTTTTGGGGTGCTGCATCTTCTGGTGCCCCTCACCCCACTTGGGGAATCTCTGTCTTCAGGTGACCCCTTCTTCAGGGGCCTGGATAGCTAACGTCACAAATCACTCGAGGCCTGTGTTACCTTGTCCCTCTCTGCCCTCAGGGTCAGTGTCATCTCTTGCCCCCACTTTTACTGCCGAGGAACACTGACCTGCTAGCTGGGTCCTTCTTACTCACCCCCCAGAGCCCCTCCTCTAGCCTGGGGCTGGTGGCTGGCCACCAGCACCTTCCCAGAGCAGGAGTGGCAGCCCATCCAGGGAACCAACCCAAGTACCTCACTTAGTGACCCCAGTATCAAGGCTGGGCTTTTGCAGGTGCTGGGTGGGTGGGCTCTGGCCTGGGCTCTCTGCCTGGGACGGACGCAGGCGTCCCAAGGCCATGTGGCTGGCCACGACCCTCCCTGCCTCCTCCAGGGAGACGCTTGCCCAGAGCCAGGCGTACACTAACCCCACTGGCACTTCCCACCACACCCACTGTTCTTTGTTACCCACTGAGTGGATTTTCTACAACGGCCTTGTTCTGACTTTGTCTGCGTTTTTTTCTCTGGACTCTCAAGGACCACCCTGATCCCAGCTCTGCCTGCTGCTGGGGGGATGCCCCCATAGTTCTGCCCTGCCCCTTCACTGGCCTCGCCCCTGGGACTGAGCCCTCTGATGGGCCCAGGGGTCTTTTGCTAATTTGGGGACCCACCAATGCCTTCAAATTCTCCTTTTGTAAAAGAGCCTCAGGACAGGCTGAGCCCCTCCACAACTGTGGGTTCTTGCTGGTCACTATGCAAATGCTGCCCAGGGAGGCTCCACCGGCAGCAAGGTGGGCACTGGACTGGGGCCCCGATTCCCCTGCCTGCTGGCTGTGACCCTAAAGAGCAGAATTAGCTCTTTCTTCCCTGCTTGAGCTTGCCCACCGCCCACCCTGCCACCTGCCACCCTTAGGCTGGCAGGATCCCCCCCTCCCGTTCCAATCACTCACGGTTAATAAACCTCTGCCGCTTGCGCCCACTGCCTGCTCATTGGCTCACCTGCCTTGCACTGCTCTGTCTCATCTGGGGATGTGAATGGGTCCTCTGCCCTCCTTGAGCAGCAGCTCTGAGCAGGGTCCCTCCAGGGTCCCTTTTCCAAAGGCCAGGGGCCTGATGGGGGACCAAGGACTTCTGGCATCCCCAGCCCCCATTCCCTGGCCTCTCTAACTTCCTCTAGCTTAGCTGGTGACCCCAGGTGGTAGCAGGGGTGGGTGTACCCAGCCAGTAAGGATGGCTTGGGCCTGGTCCTGTGTAGTGTCTCTCTGGCCCCCATAGTGTGACTGCTGTGGTCTGTTCCAAGGAAGTGTTGGGGTGTGATCTGGGGTCTGCAGCTCACCCCAGCATGGGTCAGAGGAGAGCCACACACACACTCTGGCCACCGTGAATCACTGATTTTATTACAAAGCAGCTGATTTTATTACAAACCTTGCCTTGGTCCTGCCCTGCTTCCTGCCTGGCCCAAGGCTGCCCTGAAGCCGAGGCAGGCTCTGCCTGACACGCACTCACACCTGCACACAGATGTAGACACCCAGAAGTGCACAGACAGGACGCCAGATGCACCACTATGGAAAGGCACTTCTGCCCACACACAAGCATGCACACAATCATCCCCGGAACTCGGGAATCTAGACAGGAGGGGACCTCCCCTCCTCTCTGCCCTCGACCTGCTCCAGACCCAAGAAGTCACTGGTGGGTGGGCAAAGAGGAGCCCTGATGTATCTGCATGCCCACAGACTCAAGTCTTTGTGAACTGTTGGGTGGGCCAGTCTAGCCCATCTTGGACGTCCAGGGGAGCCCACTATCCCATAGGGTCAGGCCTAGGGGTCAGATGCCCCAGGGCTGGTTCAGGTGTCAGGAGGGTCAAGGGACAAGAGCTCAGCCTATCTCTTCTGCCAAAACTCCTTCCAGTGCTCCTGGGACTCTCTGTAAAAGTGAAACACAGCTGTTCCCTCTGGAACTCTGCAGGTATGCCTGCAGTCCCCGGGCTTCAGGACTGGTATGGCGCCAGGCTGGGACACCCATGCTCTGCAGAGCCGATAGAGGCCCA